TGACGAAATGAAATACAGATGGGTAACTCGTGATACTGTAGTGAATAATGGTTATCAGGACTGATTATGAGGGTTGGAAGTGCAAAGGTAGACATTTTGTAGCAAGGAAGGGAGCGATTATTTCTCCAGTCTAGGAGCGGAGGTCTCTAAGACCATCAACGGAGAAGAGCCCGAGAGTGGGACCCTACCCAGAGAACCAGAGATGCCTGAGATGGAGACAGGATGACGTGGAGTGATGAAGTGGCTGGGGACTGTGGATCCAGAGAGAGAGAGGGACTGTAGGCCGAAGACTAGCGGGGGCAGGGAGTGTAGGGGGAGGGTTTCTAGGATATACCCTTTGATCGGTTGATGATGCATGAAGGGGATTGGAACCATGGCAATGAAATGATATACGATGGAATGAATGTAAAACTAAAGTTCTCTCATGTAAACTATCATATAATTCACAATAAAACATTAAAAAAAAAAAAAGAGGAAGTCTCCAGCAAGATAGATTGACACAGTAACACCAACTCAAACATAACAATTGTGAGAATGGTGTGGGAACAGCCTGTGTTTTGTTATACAATTATTAGCAGAACTGACACCTAAGAACAAAAACAACAGAACTCTGGGGGCACAGTGAATAAATGCTAACCCAAAAGTTGGTGATTCAAAACCACCCGAGCTGGTGATGTGTCCTCCTGAAAACCACAGCACAGGACCCCCACGGCTCACTTCTGCTCTGTCCTACAAGGTCTCCATGAGTCCGGATCAACTTGACAGTACATAAAAACAAAAATGAATGACTACATTACGGACTAGGCATTAAGGGTTGCCAAATCAAAAACAGAGACAAATAAACAGTTCATCTCATAACCTACAAAGTGGTCTTACCAAAAGAAACAACAAAAGCCTCAAGGTGATCAATTCTTCAGAGTCACTACCAATTTATATGAAATGTAGAAGATAGGAATGCAATCAGTAAAATTCAGAACTTAGGAAACTCTTCAAGACAAAAGATCATTTCTTCACTAATACAAATGCTACACGAGTTTTTTTCTTTTGATTATAGACTGTGCTTTTATTGTTAGTACACATTTTTCATTTAAATAAAAAGAAGATATTTTCTAATATACAACTGGACTGTGAACTATTGAAAACTACTGACCAGGTCTGTTCATCTATAATGGGACTTCAAAAAGTTCATGGAAAATCCCATTATCTTTTAATTATATTTTCCCACAAACATTTAAAATATATCAGGGCCCGGTATATTAACCACCATAAGTTGTTGTTGTTGTTAAGTGCCATTGAGTCAGTTCTGACCCATAGTGACCCTGTATAGGGTTTCTGAGGAGCAGCTGGTGAGCCCAAATCACTGACCTTACAGTTCAAATGGCTTTGCCGTCTGCTTCATTAATCCACAGCACCAAATCAGGACTCCAACCACCATATAATACTCAGCAAATATCATTCAAATAAATGGATCAATGAATTAATGAGAGGATCTAAAGAATACTGGCTTAGTGTAATGGAAAGCAAGGCATACTAGAAGTAACAGGAAGAGAAAATGGTAAACATTTGTTCTAAAGTTATGGCTACCTAGAGAAAATTTCCTTTTATTGATGAATCTTTAATTTCTAACCCTAACCCTAAACCAAATAGTTACAAATATCTATACCAATATTTCTTTTTTGTAAATACATGATTATAACGGTCAGACTCATCACAGTAAAATCTGGCTCTCAGATAGTTTATATATAAAATTGTGGGATAAGTGCATAACTCATTTACACAGGGCACATTAGAAATACACCTCACTTAAACTCCCTTTCCTATTCAAAGCTCCCATAAAAGGTCTGGATAGTTACAGACGCCAATTAAATAGGCATCAAAAAATATACACACCCTGCAGAAACATCATTAACTTACCCAAAACAACTCTGAAGTCTTCGCCATCCAAGTGTAATATCCAAGTATTGGTGGTTTTTGATCTACTCTCCATATATTTCTTGAGACTTTTCCCATTAATTTCTAAGGTGTATTCATAAGCAAAACCACTGACAGCATCGATGTTTATGGTTGCTTTCGTCTTTGCAGCTCCCACACAGAAGGTTTCTTTGCCTACTAATTTGAACATCCATTCTTTTCTTATTTCTTCCTAAGGAATAAAATAACAAAAGTTGAAAACAAATGAAAGAAACTTAAAATTTGAACGTCATGTAGATAATTAAAGTGACCAAATGGCACTACTATTTTATATGTAATTTTATTAAGTCATGAAGTCAAACTAAAAAATAAAGACTTCCATTTAAATTCTAGAAGTTATATTCTATGAATTCCATAACAACCATTAGTTTGCTCTATACTGCAAAATGATACACGCATAACAACAAAAATAAGGATCACAAGAAAAAAAGTCCTAAATTCACATAAAATGGTGCTACACAAACAAAATCAGGTTTCTATCTGTGCTACATTTTACAAAGTAACATATGTTTTTTCCTACCTTCCCATCTACATAAACCACACGTTTTCCTGATGTAGTCCCATGTTCAAATTCAATCTTGTGGATTCCGTCACTTAAAGCAACATCCCAAACAGCTACGAGATCCGTCATTTTATCTAGGCTATAAGGAGGGCTAAGGTAACATAACAAAACAATTATAATGTGCCAAAATAATAATATAATAACTAATTAATCCTTGTGAAGTGAAACAGACAATTGTTAAATACTCTTAAAGTTATAAAATATGAAAGTGATACCCAATAAATGCTATTCACAACATTGAACATGTAACTCTTTTATTTTCTTATTCACTCTTCCTTTAAGACACAAACTACTATCTATGGATACACAGTGTGGTAATTTCAAACAAAGTCACCTTAATGCTAATAGAATTAAGAATCTATCATCTTACCCTTAACAATATATTCTAGGAGAGGACATAGACCAATGCCTGGAAAGGTCAGTAAATTATCTCTACACCCTCATGTCCCGCACCCTATTTAAAAAGCCCAGTATTTGATTTTTTTTTTTTTTCAGATGTAATCACTCCTAAACAAAAATTATCCAAACCTTCCATATTTTAACCAATGACTAGGGGTTTAGCAAAAAAGAAGCAGAAAAAAAAGCGCAGTCATAGGAAGACATGTCATGTCTTCCTACAACAAAGATAAAAATGATACAAAGAAATGTTATGACAAATAGTAATTCTTGTCCTTAACAATTACTCCAGCTACTAATGATACTAAATATAAGTAATGCAACAAAAACATTAGCAAATTAAAAGCACATCAGCAATGTTAATATACCAACTGCAATTTTAAAGTATATTAATTATACATCTAAATGTGCCCATTGCTCATTTACTGTACAATGCAAAGGTCACACGGAGAAAATAAATGAAAAAGAGGCATCCCTACTTAACACTATGAACATTCAACTCAATTTCTTACAATCTAGCCAGAAGGGGAATCACAAAAGAGGTGAAAAATTGTAGAAGTAAATAATGGTGAGTATGTACAACCTGGTAAATGTAACTGCCAGTGAAGTATGTACTAAAAAATGATTAAAATGGTAAACTTTATATTATTTTTAAAAAACAGTAATTCTTGGTACAACCACAGGAGAGTTTGTAAAAAAAAAATTTAAGGAGTCTAGTTTGTCAAAAAATCCTGTCATAATTTAAACACACATTACTCTGAGGTGTAGCTTTTTAGCTTTGAAAGAACGAACATTTATTCCAGTAGTAATTAGCATGGCTGTTGTTAAGTGATAACTCTGTACCAGTCACTGTTTTGAGAGATTCATATGTGTTAACTCACAGAGCTCATACCACAAGATGGGTGATATCCCTGTGGATGAGGAAACTGAGGCTCAGAGAGGCTAAGGGCTTGTAATTTGGCAGAGATGGGATTTAAACATAAGACCCTGGGCTCCCTAGCCTGTTCTCTTAACCATATACTCTACTCTTCACTCACTCCAGTCTCCTCTACACATATGTTCTGAATCAGAGATGAAAAATGGATTTCATCATTTTGAAGTAGTTTCCAGGAACTCTGTGCTGAGAGTTATTTAGAGACGTCACATCCAAGACCTGTGGAAAGGATGCCATGTTTGAATGGTGATCACCTCCATGTCAAGTATTTATTACACCTGTTCCAAATCATAGGAAAAGCAGAATTGTATATTATACAATCTTTAAAAATGTAGCCTGGATAAATCATTCTTCTGAATGATTTATAACAATCTTGAAAGTTTCAAAAACTAGTGTTATTGCAATGTGAGACATTTACCTTTCATCATCTTCAAAGATAGGACTGTCATCTCCAGATGCCATGGTTGGCAAAACAGCCTTTAATCCAATTAGCAGCCAGGGAAGAAAAAAGCAGAATTGCAGCAAGAGAGATTGAGAGCAGCAAAGAAAATATCTACGAAAGGTTTTTCTAACTATGCAAGTCAGCTCTTACAGTGCATGCAGTTTCTGATTATTACAATTTCTGAATATTACAATTCTGATTTGTAATTTCTAATATCCAGGGGAAACAAGTCAGATAATATTTTTTCTGATATAGATATATAATTTTTAAAAAGTTTCTAGTATTTATTTCAAATATTACAGGACACTGGAGTTAGAGTAGACCTAAGTACTCCTCTGGGCCCCAAGCTTCTTAAATTAAGGCACGCTTAGGTTCAACGGCATGAAGCAGGGGGCTAGGGAATGCATAAAACTCCAGCATAAATACCATGCATCTTTTGGGAACTTTAATGGTATATGGTGATGTTGTTGTTAAGTACCGTGGAGTCAATTCCGACTCATAGTGACCCTACACAGGGTTCCCGAGACTGTAAATCTTTACGGGAGCAGAAAGCCTCATCTTTCTCCCATGGAACAGATGGTAGTTTTGAACTGCCGACCCTGAGGTTAGCAACCCAATTCGTAACCAATACGCTACCAGAGCTCCTTGTGATAAGCAATGTTTTTGTAATCTTTATAGTACATTTCAGGGGGCTATTATTAAATGATGGTTGAATATAAATTTTTAAACCTTTTTTAAATTTTTGATAACGTCAAAGCTAGTTTGCTTTCGAGTATGATAAACATGGCCCTGTTCAACCAGTTCAGTTCCTAGTGCCAATAACAAATTCATGTAATAAGGCTCACTCAGGGTCATTAGCAGAGCACAGGCCAGAACTGGAGCCCAGTTCTCATGTTCACTTAACCACTGGGATGCAGTGCTCACTCAGTTTTACTAGAATCAGAAGCACACACATACTTACATGCATAGGAAACCCTCCACATTTGAAGGTTTGGGATTAGCAGTTGTAACCCTATTAAACAAAAATAGGTTCAACTATGTTTGCTCCCCAGGTTTACTCTAGTTCAGTCTTCTCCTTGATAAATGCCTTTCCCTACAGATAGATGTCCCAGGGTGCTCTATCCTGTTAAAAGTGAGAGATTGCCATCCCTCTTGGGCTGGAAAAAGCCAGAACCCACAAGTAGTTAAAATTATGTTAAAGAAGAATTTAGAACCCATAAGAGCAATCCAAAATGTAAAGGGAAACTAAGAGTTTTAGAAGGAAAACTAGGTAAAGAGTGAGAACACTTTATGTCTAAAATAAATCCTCACCTCTCAAAAAAAAAAAAAACTCACAGCAGTACAAACTTATGGGTCTCCCTAGTATTAAGAAGCCCTATCACATTGCCTATGGAAGTGGAGGGTATCCTGTAAACATAAAAAGAGAGAATACATAGCAAGAGAGTAAGCAAGACAGCAATATATAAACTTTGATACATCCTTTGTAAATCAAAATGGATTTAAGGATGTCATTCAAATTTTGATCTACAACTATAAGAGACTCTAGAAAGTTCAGTAATACAGCATTCAAACCTAAAACAATGGCCCAGTTATAAGGAACCTCAGCTATTAACTACACATACTTAGGTATGGCCTGGTACCATCTTAATTATAATCTTCATATAGAAGTATAAAAGACAGCACAACAATCATATTGAAAGAGAAGATCATATCACATTAAAAAAAAAGTTTTCTCTACACTATCAACATTTATTCATATAGTCAACCATTATTTATGGAGTATCTAAAACAACAGTACATTTTCATTCTCCAATAATGGACAGTATGTAGGATAAGCACTTATTCAATCTGTATGCTCAGTAAATAATCCGAGAAGCTGGGTTATATGAAGAAGAACGTGGCATCAGGATTGGAGGGAAGACTCATTAACAACCTGTGATATGCAGATGATAGATACAACCATGCTTGCTGAAAAGCTACGAGGACGTAAAATACTTACTGATGAACATCAAAGACCACAGCCTTTAGTATGAGTTGCACCTCAATATAAAGAAAACAAAAATCCTCACCACTGGACCAATAAATAACATCATGATAAATGGAGAAAACAAAAATCCTCACCACTGGACTCATAAATAACATCGTAAAAAATGGAGAAAACAAAAATCCTTACTTCTAGACCAATAAATAGCATCATGATAAATGGAAGAAAGATTGAAGTTGTGAAAGACTTCATTTTGCTTGGATCCACTATCAACATTTAGGGAAGCAGCAGTCAAGAAGTCAAACAACATAATGTATTAGGCAAATCTACTGCACAAGACCACCTTTTAAGTGTTTAAGTGCAAAGATGTTAGTTTGAGGACTAAGGTGTGCCTGACCCTAGTCATAATATTTTCAATAGCTTGATATGTATGTGAAAGTTGGACAGTGAATAAGGAAGACCATAGAAGAATTTATGCATTTGATTTATGGTGTTGGAAAAGAATATTAAAAGTACCACGAACTGCTAGAAGAACAAACAGATCTGTGTAGGAATATAGTCAGAATGTTCTTTAGAAGCCAGGATGGTAAGACTTCATCTCATATTTTCACATATTAACAGGAGTGACCAGTCCCTGGAGTACATCATGTTAGTTAGGTAAAGTGGAGGGTCAGAGGAAAAGAGGAAGACCCATAATGACATGGATTAGCAGCAATGGGCTCAAACTTAACCAAGATTGTGAGGATGGCCCAGGACTGGGCAGTGTTTTGTTCTGTTGTGCACAAGGTCACTATGACTTGGAGCCTACTCGTCAGCACCTAACAACAACAACAAAGGGTAAGCACTGGACTGCTAACCACAAGGTTAGCAGTTCAAACCCACCAGCCACTCCTCAGAAACCTCAGACAACAGTTGATAACTATAACATCACAGTTTGAAGATAACATATAATATGGACAAAGGCTAAAGCACGTCCTATCTGGCAAATTTGAACTCAAGAGTATATCTAACATAGGAACAGTCTTAAAAACCGTACAGTACTGGACTGTTAAACTTAATGTTGCTGTGAGTTGGAACCAACTCAGTGGTACCTAACAAAAACAACATCAAAACTGATGTTTTTTCCTAAACACAAATTTGCAAACCTATATCCAATTATATTACCTTCTTTGCTTTTTCTATGTTGTTGTTAAGTGCCATTGAGTCATAGTTTCCTTCTGGGAAGTGGTTGGCTAGTGGGTTTGAATCACTGACCTTGCAGTTAACAGTTCAATGCTTATCCTACAGTGCCACACTAGGACTATGGTAGTGGTAGGGGTGGTGGTGGAGGTGTGCAGTGGAATTGGTTCCAACTCTTAGTGACCCTGCATAGGGTTTCTGAGGCCGTAAACCTTTATGAGAGCAAAGGAACAGCTGGTAGTTTCAAATTGCTGACCTTGAGGTTAGTAGCCCGACTCATAACCACTCCTCTACCGGAGCTTCTCACACTCGGACTATGTTGACGTTGCTAAGTGCCCTCAAGTCGGTTCCAACCCATAGCAACCCTGTAAAGGGTTTCCGAGGAGCAGCTGATGAGCTTGAAGCACCGACCATGTGGTTCAAGCCAATTTTGCAATCCAGAGTACTAACCCACAGTTCCACACCAGGACTCCACACTAGGACTATAGACCCAATTAAATAAGAAAAAGAGTTGATTTAGTATAAACTTATATTTAAATTTTTTCTTGTCTATGTTATGCATTATCCTAAGCAACAGTCCAAAATATTTAAATAATTATTAATATATTAATAGCATTAACATTAACCAATAGCATATGTGCTTCCATTTATAAAATTTTAAAATAAATTTTCCAAGTAGATGCTGACTGAAAAAAAAAACAAACTTTCTATGCTAGGATCAGACTGAGCACTATAAAAATGTGTCTACTGGTGAAACATTTTTGTTGTTGTTAAGTGCCTTCAAGTTGATTCTGTCTCATAGTGACTCTATATAAGGTTTCTGGTGAGTAGCTGGGAAATTTGAACTGCCAACCTTGCAGTTCAAACTGATCTTGCGGCCCAGTGCATTATCCCACAGCACCACATCAGGACTCTGGAAAGACATTTAGTGAACTCTTAAAAATTGAGACTTAGGCTAATGATCTGAAACAAAATAAATAAAAACAATATGCATATGAAGAATTATTCCAAAACCTCAACAGAGATTAATGAACAAAAGTTGCTACTAAACTTTAAACTACTACTATTTTAAATCATCTACTGATTTTTCACTTAAGAATATCCTCAGGAAAAAGCCACTTTACTTCCTTCATAACTAGGAACTTCTCTGATGGTCTATACAACATGATTCTGAGAAACACATAATCCGTTTATTCACAAATAGTTACTAAATGCCTATTAAGTGACCTGAAAGCACTCCAAAGTCAACCACATGTTTAAAAGTTTTTCTATGGTTTGTCTATGATTTGCAGCAGCTATGCTCTATTTATTTACTCAGGGGGAGGTGTACCTCTACAACAAAAGTTGTCTTATGATAAATGTTCAGCCTTCAGTTTTCCTATTCAACATTTAACCTCAACCCACTACTAAAAGGCACTGTCCTTAAGTAATGCATTCATTTCAATTCGTGTTCAGTCAAAATAAGGCGCCCTGACTTCAGTGTTTGTGATTACACCTGTAACCAAGATACGATGGCATCTCTGCTCCTGTCTCATTTTAATGAGAAATATCTGTCACACAAAAATGTCTATATTATAAGCCCAATTTAATAAGCACAGGGCACATTTGAAATTCATCCAGCATACCAACAGTTATGGAACACTTACGTGTCAGGCCTGGACTGGGCACAGAGTTCAGAGGGTAATAGGATCTCAGGCTCTGGAGAGACCAACAAATGATTTTAGCACAGCTTTGGGAGTGCCTCGAGATAGGGAAACAGCACAAGGCAGAAAGGACTAACATTAGAAGGCTCTAGACCAGGAAGGCCAGGAAAGGTTTTGGTTTAAATCGGGGAGAAATGAATAATCCACTGTCATT